TGAAGTCAGTGGTTTACTTGCAAGGTTGGTGGCATAAGGTGAGTGGGGCCATCTTAGGTCCTGTGGTAGTTACATAATCTGGTGTTAATTTGGGACTTAGAGAATTAAGAGTGATGGAATGGAGTCTACTCTGTCAATTGAGTCATAGCCAACGAGGCTTCTGTGTGGGGATGGCCTTCCCCTGATTCTGGGACTTCCGGTATTTCATCCTTGGAGGAAGGAGACACTCTTTCCATGTTCACTTCCGGCCAGGCATCCCTGAGGAGAAGCCACATGGACCTACCCTGATGCAGAAACCTGGAGCCAGAGAAGCCATATGGAGACCCCTGCCAGTGCTGAGATACTTACAATGCCACTGGATCCAAAGACTCTCTACCCACTGGCCTTTGATCATCCTGCATTCAGCATCATTGCATGTGTTTCGTGAGACTGAAGAGGACTTTTTAGATTGGTATTGGACATATGGGTTAGTATCAGACTTATGATTTTGGACTGGACTGGGATGGGATGCTTTCTTAATATACAATTGCTCTTTACATAAAACTCCCTCTTATACACATAGGAGTTTCTATGGATTTCTCTGGTCTACCCAGACTAACACAGTTCCTTTACCCTCAAAGGACATGTACACAGAGCCAGCATTTGACTAAGCATCAGTTCCTGGGTCTCCACTCTGGTCAGACTAAGAGCTGCATCAATATGTGTGAAGTTCAAGGACCAGTACAGTGATGGCTAGGAGGTTGTTGACATGAAATTGGTGGTTTAATTTCTATACCCTGCATTGCCTGCACAAATCTCTCATGGATCCGCTTAAATATGAAAGGATGCATCACTTGACTTTAAGTAGGAAATACTGTGTCTTATTTGCCGTAGGGATTCCAATATGTATGCTTGTGGTGCATATAAGCCAGTACAATCTCTCCATATGAGGTAGGAGTCCAACCAGTGAATTAATGATGGGTATAAGAAGCTGTGAAATTAGGAGAAGGCCTGGCAAGAGAGGGATGGGCTACTGGAGAAGTTTCATCCAGAGGGTAGGCTACTGGGTGCGCCCATGGACCTAGAGAAGGGGAGCTCAGTGCTGTTCCTGTAGCTGAGGGGTTGGACTAAATTCAAAGCACTGTCTGCTGATGAATCTGAGGTTCCTTATTTACCTTTTATTCATTCTTTCTTCCATTAATTCAACAAGTATATATCAAGCAGCTGCCAACTCTCATGCACCATGTCAGGTAGTGGGGACATCAGCATGAATGAGATTTTCTGTTGCAGGGGAGCTTACAGGGAGTGAGAAGTCAGGGAAAAAAAGTACAGTTCAAGTCCGTTAAATATGCCCTGGTAGTGCAGTGATGAAGGGCTTAGTTAGTAACCCAAAGGCTGCTTTGTACCCACCAGCTGCTGCCCAGAAGATGTGGTAATTTGCTTCCCTAAGGATTTACAGCCTCGGAGACCTGGGAAACAGTTCTACTGTATCCTATACAACCCCTGTAAGTTAGAATCGATCGGATCCCTGTGGGTTATCATGCCACGTTGTTATTAGGTGCTTTTTGGCTGGTACTAGCTCACAGGGACACTATGCACAACAAGAAATGATGCTCATGCGACGCCCATCCTCACCATCATTCCTGTGATCCAGTCTATTGTCCAGCTATGTGTCAGTCCATCCGTTTGAGGGTCTTCCTCTTTTTCGCTGGCCCTCCACACTACCAAGCATGCTGCCCTTCTCTAAGGACAGGTGCCTCCTGGTATCAGGTCCCAAGTATGAGATGAAGTCTTGCCATCCTTGTTTCTAAGAAACACTCTAGGGGTACTTCTTACGACACAGATTCTTTTGTTTGTCTGCAGCCCATGGTATATGTAAAATTCTTCACAGACACTGTATTTCAAGGACATCAATTCTTTGTTCTTCCTTGTTCATTGTCCAGCTTTCATATGCACATTGAAGCAATTGAAAATGTAATAGTTTGAATCAAGTACATCTTCGTCCTCAAGGGGATATCTTCACATTTTACTACTTTAAAAAGTGTCTTTGGCAACAGATTTTCCCAATATAATACATTGTTGACTTCTTGCTGCTACTTCCCTGGCTGTTGCTTGTAGGTTCAAATGGAGTCTATCTCTTTTCCATTTGCTGTGGTCTGACTTATTGTTCCTGTTGTGAAGATTTTTGTATTCTTCATGTTGACGTGTAATCTATACTGAAGACTGCAGTTTTTCATTTTCATCAAGTCCTCTGATTTCTCTTTCCATTCAGCAAGCAAGGTTGTGTTATCTGCATACCACAGGTTAATGAGCCTTTCTCCAGTCCTGCTGCTGCGTTCTTGTACATCATCCACGATTATGTACAGCACACGATTATGTACAGGATTACACAATTATGTAATCCAGCACAGATTAAAGCAGTGTGGTAAAATGACACAACCTTGACACACACTTGTCCTGACTTGAAGCCATGCAATGTCCCTTTGTTCTGGTTCTAGATCTGTCTCTAGGTCTATGTACAGATGCCACACTAGCACCATTAAGTGTTCCAGAATTCATTCTTTGCCATGGTATCCATAATTGGACATGATCCACAAAGTAAATTATTTTGCAAGAGTTGATAAAACACCAGTAAATATCTTTCTGGTATTCTCTAGTTTCAACCAAGATCCATCTGACACCAGCCATGGTATCTTTCCTTGTTCAACTTCTTCTGAATCTAGCATGGATTTCTGGCAGCTTCCTCTCCGTGTATTGCCAAAACCATTTTTAAATTACCTTCTGAAAACATTTTACTTGCATGTGATATTAATGGTATTGTTTGACAATGTCTGCATTGTTGGATCATCCATTTTCAGAACTGGTATATGGATTTCTTCCCATTGATTTTCCAAGTAGTTGTTTTCCAAATTTCTTGACATAGACCAGTGAGGACCTCCAGTCTGAATCAGTTTGCTGAAACATCTCAATTGGTTTTCTGTTCATTTCTGATTGAGATAGTTAAAGATTATTGTGCCAACCTGGCCGATAAACACATGTGGGATTAATTGACGGGCAGAGGGATAAATGGCTCAGTAAGCCTCACCTTTCTAGTTCTCGAGTCTCTTGCTTTGTGATGGTCGGACCAGGGTGCAGCTGCCTTAGCTAGTTCCTTGCGTCAGCGGGCAAGGCTTACTTCCTGCAAGACCTCCCCGAAAAGAAGCCATATGGACCTACCCCAATATCCCCGATATCCCTGGGTCCTGGAGTAGCCGTGTGGAGACCCTTGCCAGCGCTGAGATGCTTACATGTTCACTGACTCAGCTTTGCTCCTGTGGTCGGCATCACTGCGTGTGTTTTGTGAATTGGAGGAGGATTTTGTGGATTGGTGTTGGACAAATGGGTTAATGTTGGACTTGCATGTGGACGGGCAGCACTGGGTTGGGATGTTTTCTTGATGTGCACTTACCCTTTATATAAAACTCTCTTCTACATATGAGTTTCTGTGGATTTGTTTCTCTAATGTACCCAGACTAACACACTGATCCTTGTTTTTTGCCAATGCCTTCATTGCTGTTTGAACTTCCCCTTTTGGTACCATCTTAATCACATGCTACCTCTTGAATGTCTCAGCATTGTTTGACTGATCTTGCGTTGCTTCATTCTCTCTCCCTAGATAAGGCTGATTTGATTACTGTGCATCGCATCTGTTGAGGCCCAGGTATATAGTCAGCGGTAATGTTGGGGGCGGGGGTGGGGGGAGCATTTGCAATGAATAAGTGATTGGTCTTACAATATTTTATCATGTAATCTCTGGTATTATTTCTATAAACACTACCATATTTCCCAAAATCTGATCTTTCTTTTTTTTTTTTTATCTATAACTTTTGGGCTCCAATCACCAACCATTATCAATTGACTGCATATTGATTGCACATTGGATCAATTTCAGACAGCAGAAATTGGGAGTGGTCTTCAGTACCTTCATCTCTGGTATTCGTGTTTGGTGTATACATTTTAATAGTTGTCATGTTAACTGGCTCTCTTTGTCGACGCGTGCCCATCATGACAGCAGTGTGCTTCAGGGAAGCTCTAGAAATGTTCGTTTTACTGACATTGGTGGCATTCTTCTTTTGTTTGTCAGTCTGGCACAGGGGGTCATATGATTTTGCAGTGGCCAATACTATTTTAGCTCACTAATAGCTAGGGTATTGATCCTGATGGGCTTCCCTTAATTTTTGACAACTACCAATTTTCTTAGATTCACGCTTTGCATATTCTGATGTGCAAGTCTTCATGCATGTCGGCCACCGCTTCTTCTCATGGGGAGTAATGTCAGCATCATGCAGGTTGGGTTTACTCTGAGGTGGCAGCACTTTCCTAGTCACATTTTTTTTTTCCATAGTCACATTTTGAGAGCCTTCCAACCCGTGGTGCTTGGCCGGCAGCTCTGTATCCGATAATGCTCCATTGAAACCTGTAATGTTTTCATTGCTCAGTGCTTTTAGAAGATTGCCGTGTCCTTCCTCCTAGTCTGGCAGCTCCGCCCAGACCTACCCAACATGAGTGACCCTGGTGCTATTTGAAATACCAGTGGCATAGCTTCCAGCATCACAGTAACATGCAAGCCGTGGCACAGGATAGACGAGCATCGTGGGGGCATCTAATTCCAGACAGGGCTCAGGAGAGCAATGGGCAATTGCTTTCAGTGTTTGGGTGCCCATTCAGTGCCATGCGTTCTGTTTAGCACAATCATGGCACATCTCTATAAAGAACAGGTGTTAATATCTCCATTTTAGAGAAGATGAATGAACTTGGGACTCGGATAAGTCTGAGTGCTTGATCAAAATTGCACTAGAAGGAAATGTTGGCATAAGGATTTGGACTCAGGTCTGTGTTGGTGCCAAAGCTCAAATTCTTTTGAATATCTCAGAGCCCAGACAGAGAACACATCATCAGAAACATACTCCTGATCCCTCTAGGACCATTCTACCAGATGACACAAGAAAGAAACAACAGAGATTACAGCACAAAGACAGATGAAGAATTAAAATAATGCCTTTAATATAATTTTCAGCAAACATACAGGATGTACTTTATATTACATATTTCTAAACTGCTCATCTGGAAAATATAAGCTGCAAAAATACAGAATACCACACTCAAAATCTATTGAGTATGTGCTTTTTGTCTTCCTCCCTTGCCCCCTCCAGCCCACCTCTGTTCAGTGTGGAAAGGGAGGCTTTTATCCCTTCCTATTAAAATCCAACCTAGGCTGATTTCGGAAGCGCTGTTGGAAACCTGGGTCAGAGAAGCATTCCAGAGAGCGGTTATCTAAAGCATGTCAGCAAGCCGCCCCATGGGAGCCACAGGAGGGATGGACCAGGGGGAATTTGCACATCAGGCCAACATTGCTGTTAAGCATCCCAGGAAAAAACCTACTCTGACGGCGGTCTGGAGGACACCTGACCACAAACCACCTGGCAAGTCCTCATCACAGGCTTGGGCTTGGACCTCAGAGGACCGCCCAACTGGCAGGATAATCCACACGGGAGACCCTTGGGCTCTTGGGCAGGGTAGAGCACGCTAAGTCAGGTTCTTGGGCGGTGGCAGACTGTTCTCTGCAGGAAGAGGGGCCAGGCCCTCAGCTTCTCACAAAGGAGTCTTCTGAAGGTGAGTGTGACTCGGGGCAGGTTTTCTCAGTCTCAATGTCTTGGTACTCTGTGCCTAAAGGGGGAGGAGGGAAGAAGAGCCAAGAGGAAAAAGAGATCGGTCTTTTCTGGTTTACCTATTTATTTCTTAGGCTTATCTAATAGCCTCCACTTTGGGGGGTGGGGTGGGCTCATGTCAACCAAGTGCTGCGTTTCTCTCCGTGTAAACCCAAGGGAGGGCGTTCCCTGGGGGGTGCAAATGGGTTGTGCTCAACTAGGAATCTGAAGATTCGTGTTCCAAACCCACCCAGAGGCAACACGGAAGAAAGGCCTGGCAATCCGCTTCTAGAAACATCACAGCCAAGAAAACCCCATGGATCACAATTCTACCCAGTGCTACCCGAGTCAGAACTGGCTCAATAGGAACAAAGTTGGCTTGGTTTGGGAAGCACAAGGAATCAGAATCCAAGCCCCAAGTATTTGCCTGAAGGATGTATATCTATTTCTTGACCAGCATATCCATACCAAAATCCATAGAAGAAACACCTTCTACGGGGATACATAAGATGTGCCCCATCACTCACTCACTTATCCCTGGTCACTCACTTACCCTGGATTACCAGGGTTGGAGCTTGTGTGCTAGGCCCCTGTTACTTCAGGCCATCACTGAAGAGGTGACTTCATGCCAGTGAAAATCCCCGCATGAATGCCTGGCTTTCTCCCCCAGCATGCTGGAGCTGCTTGTTATTTATCCAGCCTCAGCTATCCACCACACGCTGGGGGAAACGATCTCCTTCTTGGAGCATTGATTTTGGGGCTGATGCCATCCTTTCAAAATAGATGCTGAGACTTCATTTAAAAAGCATTAAAAACTCAGCTCGGTCCCTGGGATTATTTACAGGCCATGCCAGTTCCGTTGGCCAGCCCACGCAGCTAGCTTTCCTGTTTAAAGGCAGGCTGGGTGGGGCTGTTAAGTCTCAGTTCATTTGCTTTGCCTTTTTAGACTTCCACCTGGGGGTCCAAAAGGGGACAAGAGTTTGGAAACGTCACTCATTTCCTCGGGATTTGGTAGCAGAGCTTGAGCCTGTATATGCAGTGCATGTGCTCTGGGTAACTTGGGGACTTCCCCTCTCAACTCTCACAAGGCTCTGGTTCTTGGTTTTGCTGGAAGCTTTGGGGACAAGGACTTGGGGGTGGGGGTGGGGAGAGGGGAGCATCCAGAAAGCTGGGGTTAGCGACGGCTCTGATGATGAGTAGCTGAGCCGCACCAAAGGTTACAGGCTTGACTATTGGCCAGAAGGATGGTGGTTCACACGTACCCAGGGGCAACTTGGAAAAGTTGGCCTGGGACCCACCATGGAGCAGTTCTGTCCTGAACGAATGGGTGGCCGGGAGTTGTAACTCACTTGACAACCAGTAACAACCCAGAGGGGCCAGGAAACAAACATTTGCGGACGTGGCCATGGCTGAGGAAGGAATTGGGTGTGTGAAAGGGCTCCAGTGTCTACCTTTCCTGTAAAAGTCCTTTTCTGTTTAGAGCCCTGTACCTGCAGGCAGTTTAACAAAGGCTCTTCCCTCCAATGCCTAGCCCACTCTCTGAAGCTTTGGAATCCTGCTTGGGGTGAGGTTCCCCATTGTAGGTGCCCTGTTGGCTTCAGAGAAGTTTCTTCAGCAGCAGGTTCTATGAGCTCACTCAGCTGACCATGGCAAGAGGATCTGACGTGGCTCCTGGTGATTAACTAGCCATGCGGCCCAAGGACGCTTAGTTTTGCTGAGCCTTAGTATTCTGATGCATAAACTGGGAATAGAATTCTTACCTTACAGGGCTGGAATGAGAGGATGCATGCAGTTTGGGGGATCTTGTGTTTATGGAATGGGGTAGGTAGTTAGCTCTCAAAAAAACAGAGTTCTTTGTTCTACTAGAATGAGCCAATTTATATGCTTGGGGCCATGCAGTAGGTTCAAACCCGTAGCGACCCCATGCACAAAGGAACAACTTTCTGTGCTGGAGACCATTGTTGGAGCCATGGTGTCAATCCACCTCATTGACAGACCACCTCTCTTTTGCTGCCCCTCCACTTTACCAGAGGATGTCCTCAGGAGGAAGTCAACTTACGGGCATGAAGGAGAGGTGACTATGAGAGAGCCCTGAGGCCTGGTTGTGCAGAGGGGTACACGTGGGACAGCTGATCCCAAGATCCATAGTTAAAAACCACCAGCTACTCTGAGGGCGAAAGATGAGGCTTTCCACTCCTGTAAGGCTTTACTGTCTCAGAAAACCACAGGGGCAGTCCTACTGTGTCCTATGGGGTCACGAGGAGTCAGAATCAACTGAATTGCAGTGTCTTGTTTTGTTTTAAGATAGTAAGTATAATAAGGCGCTGGCCTGATTCAGAAGAGGACATGGGACGAGGGATATCATTGCAGATGGCAGAGGAGCCTTGGCTCAAAGCAGAGAATACTAGAAAGATGTTTACTTGTTTTTGATTGACTGTGCCAGGGCATCTGACTGTGTGTCCCACAATACATGACGGGTAACCTTGAGAAGAACGGGAAATTCAGAACACCTCATTAGGCTCAATCCGTATGCTGCGCAAATCACCAGAGAAGCTGGATTATATGAAGAAGAATGTAGCCTCAGGACTGGAGGAAGGCTTATTAATAATCTGTGATATGCAGATGACACAACCTTACTTGCTGACCATGAGGATGAAGAAAAGGTTGGCGTTGTCACGGATTTTTGTCTTGCTTGGATTCACAATCAATGCTCAGGGAAGCAGTAGTCAAGAGATCAAAAGATACGTGCATTAGGTGAATTCGCTGCAGAAGGCCTCTTTAGAGTATTGAAAAGAAAGGATGTTACTTTGAGGACTGAGGTGCACCTGACCCAAGCCATGGTATTTTCTTTCCCTTGCCAATATGCATGCGAATTCTACAGGAAGACTGTAGAAGAATTGGTGCATCTGAATTGTGGTGCTGGAAAAGAATATTGAAAATACCATGGACTGCTAAGTGGACAAGCTGAGTTGTATTGGAAGAAGGCCAGAGTGCTCCTTAGAGGCGAAGGATGGCAAGACTTCGTCTTACATACGTTGGGCCTGTTGTCAGGAAGGGATAACCCCTGGAGAAGGATCTCATGTTTGGTAAAGTCGGGGCGTGGTGAAAAAGAGGAAGGCCTTCAAGGAGATGGACTGAGACAGTGGCAGCGACAACGGGCTCAGGCATAGGAACAATGGTGAGGGATGGCGCGGGAGTGGGCAGCGTTGCATTCTGTTGGGCACGGGGTCTCTATGGGTCCAAACAGACTCAACGGCACCTAACAAAGATAAAAACTATACAGTTGTGAGCACTAACCAGCCTTAGAAGAGGTTCCCAAGGCCCACCTCTCAGGTCTGGAAGTCGTCACTGCTGGGTGGCTCAAGTGGTTTGCATCTGGTTACTAACCCAAATATTGACAACTGACCCCCTCCTCCCCCCCTGGCCTCCAGTGGCACTGTGAAAGCTCTAGCGACTTGCTTCTAGGAGCGTCTACGGAGCAGTTTTGTGCTCTGTAAGATATGGGGCCCCCATGCGTTAGCATCAATTCAATGGCAATGGATTTGGGGAGGTCTTTGAGAAGATTAAATCCTGTCTTTAATATTCCATCAGTTCTGTTGGAAGCAGGATAGGGTTGCTTTATTTCAGAGAAGAAATTTGAAGATACTGATGCTATCTTCCAGTTACATCCAGGATTTCATCTGTATGGCTACTGGAATCGTGCCAATGTCAGTAAACAAATAAAACACACAAAAATACCTCCCAGCCCGTTTCAGGTGGTGCCCTACAGTATATTTTATATGTTCAGTCAGGGTCCTCTTTTAATGAAACTTCCTATTAGTTGTATAGCTTCAGATTATACGATCAACTGGTCCAGACCACCATCTCCATGAGACCCAATTTCTAGTAGGTAACACGAACCCAAGGAAACAAGGTTCACAGAGCTCTGGTGGCATTGTCGGGCACGTGGAGGGCTGTTGACGACATGGGCAGAGTGGAAATCTACTCGGTAGCCGGTGGGGTTTTGGAAGGCAGGAGGGAATGGGAGAACAAAAATTTCCATCTTCAGATTTGTTAAACTCTAGGAAATAGGCTAGGTTGTCCCTTTTGTCAACAGTTAAAGAACAGAACCCTTTCTACCTTGTGGGGGAAATACTCACAACTCCTGATGACCACCACTGACTGATTGTTGACCTAATTGATTCCTACAAACATAAAAATGCCAATAAACGATGTCTAAAAGCCTAGCATCTGAGCCTGGAGACTTGTTTTCAGCCAATCACCAGCTTCGCTGTGCTCGAAGGCCCTGGGCCAGGGCAGAGTTCCTTCTGCGGTGGATGGCAGGGAAGTCCTGGGCACTGCCTATGAGTCTGCAGCTTGGCCTCTGGTGCTGGCACAGAGAAATGCTCCCCCGGCATCCAGGTGCTTTAAAGGTGATTTCAGTAGTATTCAAAGAGATGACATTTCCTGCTTCCTTCTAACCTCTCCACTTCCAGTAAAACATCTCCCATAAATGGATTCTTGGGCTGATGGCTCAGGGCTAAGGCCAAGAAGGAGACAGGAGGGCATGCCACCAGAATACAGCTCCTGTCGTGTCTTGGACCCGTTATATCTGGGGGACAATGTGCACGGTCCCAGAGCCCACTGGGTTCAGTGTTCCTAATGACACACTCTCGGGAGGTAGCGGGGTCCCTGTGTCTTGCTCAGGTGGGAGTACCCCCAATGGCTGGATCCTTAGGCTTGGATTTGAATCAGATCTGTCACTCTTAGCATTGTGGTCTTGAGCCAATTAGGGAATCCCATGTCAGATTTTACTCCTCTGCAAATTGGAGCTAATGAGCATTATCTCCCAGGTTCTGGAGATTGTGCGGATGCGGATTATATTCTTGGCCCAGTGACTGGTTCTAAGTAACTGTCTGATAAATAGTAGCTATCATTATTAGTTTTTGCTATCCTTAGTTTTTACTCTTATGAATTCCATTACGGCCCATAGCAACCGCAGAGAGCAGAACTATGTTCCACAAAGCTTTCTTGGCTATG